GGAAGGACATTCATTAAGGCACCACGTCATCTATACTCCAGAGCTGAGAGATTTGAAAGCTACTTAGCTACTTTCCATCCACCCAGCTCTAGGTATGGACTACCTCTACCCAACTCCTGGGACCCTCTCATTCACTCCTGGCACCATGAGTGGAAATTCACAGTGCTTCACCCTGGCAACTATACAAGATGATGATGTGGAGGGAGTTCACACTCTCGTCCTTACTTTAGTCAATGCCACTGCAGGGACTCTAATATTAGGAAGCAGTCTTGTTACTATCACTGATGACGGTATATATGGACTCATAATTCGTTTGGTTTGGGATTATTGTTTGTTTTTTCCTACTCAGATGTGGTTGGGGTTTCTTTAGCTGATGCTGCATCGACAGTGGAAGGGAGGCCGGCCGAAGTTATAATTAGTCTGGTTCTAATCAGTGGTAAACTGATGTGTGGTGACGTCATAGTACACCTCTCAACGATGGATATGACTGCAAGTGAGCAGATAAACGAAAAATTAAAGTTCTATACAAACTATGTGTTTTACGTACAATAGTCGAACCAGCTGATTACATAGGATTGTCAGCCCGTCAGGATGGAGTTACTTTCACACCAGAGACGCGTCTCAGTACAAGTGTACTGGTGGCTACTGTTCTTGATGGTATTACTGAGGACCCAGAGACTTTCCTTGTGACAATTACTGACGTAACAACAGAGTGCCCCCTATAATGTACAAAACAGTGCTTCAACTGTTACAATAAGAGATCGAGAAAGTAAGTTTTCACATGAAGCAAGTAGCCTCAGTCAAAATAAATAGCCGTAATGCACAGACATCACAGAATACATCAATCCTGGACTTTATTTTTCCTGCAGGGATCACCTCTTCAATTCAGTTTGTGACTCCAGAGATAGTGCTGACTGAAAGAGAAGGAGAAACTGTAGATGTATGTGTCGAACTTCTGTTGCTTAACAATCAGACGGTACTTGAACACATCGTGTCGTTCAATCTCATCATTGGAAGTATCAATGCAAGTAAGCTATTATTAGTCCCAGAAAAGCTCACCTTTAATGCCGTTTTATACAGCATTTGGTGTTGATTTCACGGCTCCTGGCTTTAAACTGTCGAGCTTCATCTTCATTAGAGCAGTATTTGTGGAGGGAGATGACAATGGAACAACTTGCTGCCATACATTGATTGTTGTGGACGATAACGATTTTGAAGACACCATAGAAGATTTCATAGTCTCCATTCATCCGACTTTAATTTCGACTGAGTACACACTCTTGGGAGACCCCAGCTTCACCACGAGTTCTCATCAATGATACTGGAGGTATATACATTATTATAGGTTGAGCAAATTACCAATATTAGGATTCTTACGTACAGACGCAAGTGTTACTATCACGGAACTGGTCAGTGTGTCTGAAGCTAATGGAACTGCAGAAGTATGTGTAAGTCCTGGTATTACTGGAAACATCACTGCTACGCTGTCAATTACACTTCAAGTCAACGACAGAAAAGCAGGTAAGAAGATGGAATTTGATGATATTGACTGCATTGAATTCTTGTAGTTATGGGTGAGGATTATTCACACACTGGTGGTGAACTGGTCATCATGTACACTGAAGGAGACAGTCCACTGGCCAAGTGTCTCACATTTGCAATACTGGATGACGAGATTCTGGAGGGAGACCACGAGTTCACTGTGAGCATCTCTCACGTTGAGCCAAACTGGGCACTGGGTACTCCATCAGTTGCTACCGTCAACATCATTGATAATGGTTAGCACCCATACTATCTTGTCGTGAAAGAAATGATAGCTCACTTGCTCATTTTAAATCTTGAATCGTCATGGTAAAGTAAAAATATTACCCTTTTAGATGCAGAAGTAAGATTTGTGACAAGTGAGCTCATAGCAAACGAGACTTCAGTCAGTGTCTGTGTGGAGTCTGGGGTGAGTGGTGGTTTTGAAACAGCTCTGACAGTGGGCCTCGCTGCACAAGACGGCACAGCATGTAAGCTAATCTAAACATTTGCTGTGCAGATCTGTATGTAATTTTACCCCGTAGCCACCCTTGAGGATGTCTCTATTCCTGAACCATTTCAAGTGGTGTTCAGTGAAGGTCAAAACACGTCCACTGGGTGTATAGATATCCTCATACTGAGGGACGCTGCGGATGAAGGAGATGAACACTTTACCATATCCATCACCAGTGGAGGCACAGAACCTGGTGCCAGGATAACAAGTCCATCTGCAGTCACAATTACCATTCAGGGAAATGACCCAACACCAACCACTGTAAATGACGAAGCAATAAGTCTCCCTGTACTTGGAGCTATAATCGGTGTTTCCAGTATCGTAATAGGAGTGACAAGTTGTGTTGCGGCTATTCTAGTGTACATTTGCTACTCAAAAAGGGTGTGTCGGCAGCAAAAGACACGAAGCGAGGACCCAGTCTATGCCACAGTTGGTTCTAAAGATGATGGAGTAACTGTGACTAAACCACTCTCACTTCGACAACCACCAATTACCGATAACGCGATCATCACTTCTCCAAATGAGTCTTACACATATCCACCAATCATGAATCTTGGGGTACACCGGGAAATCATCACTACCTCTCTGAATGATGCATATATTGTTGCAACTCTGGCAGACGCCACTGAGAATGATACCGAGACTTACGAAGTAAGATACGAACTGGCATAACCTCAGGAAAATAACTCTTTAATCTAGTTGACTGAAGGAAAATGTTTTATTACTTCGGAATTGGGATGATGTGTGTGATAACTCTTTCTTAGGGTTTGAAAAGATTTCACCTTACTTGATTGAAATAGACAGCAAGCTATTACTTCCTGAGTTTAGGATTTGTTGACGTAGTAGTGTATTGTGGTAATTATGACATCACTGTCACCCCTGCTGCCGCCATAAATAAGTAAGCTTAAGTAGGTTCAATGGACATGCTTTTAGTCAGGATCTTAGACTGCACCTAAATGAATCCATGCACTTACGTGCTCCTTCGTCTGCCATACATGGGTATGAGACATGCACTCTGATGCAAAACATGGCCATTCACACATTCCTCTAGGTCGCCTCACATCCTATTGCCACTGGGATCGGAACCAGGATTCTCCGTGCCAGTATCACGCAGAGTGACCTCATCGTAGAGGGTGTGGCTGGTCTGTGGCTGTCTGTTCTTTCTGCAGCAGGAGCGAGAGACTAGGACACGATGGAGCAATGCTCCAATGAGGCAGCTGATGATGCACAGTACAGTGCCAACTGAGATAGCAACTGCAACTACTGCTATAGGGGTAGATGGACACTCAGGCGTGCGGTAGATATTTGTAGAAAGTGAGGATGGACACTCAGGCGTGGGGTAGATATTTGTAGAAAGTGAGGCTGCATTAAATTCACAGAGTAAATATAATCAATGGCATGCCTTTATTACAAAGTGCATGATTGAAAAACAAAAAGTATAGGGGGAAAAAGAGTTCTGTCCCTGTGTAGCTATAGCCACAAGGCTTTCTCAGCGTCTTCTATCCTCATACTCTCTGATTTTATGAAGGTTTTCACCAGCTACTTTTAACTTTTTATACACTTGTGCGCAGCTATTTAAGAAAGAGCGATGCCCATCATGTTGCCTAGTTGAACTCGAGTGCTGTGTCTAAGGAATGGTTTGACAAAGCATTTCGAAGCGGATTTCACGGGTAGCATTGAGCTAGAGACATGGTTTTAATACGTCTTTGCAATCGACATAGCAAGGTTCAATTTCATATGTGTCTCTGTGTTTGTATACTGTCACCTAAAAGAAGGAAACAATAATCACCAAACTGCAGGATACGTGATCAAAACGTCGCTGTGTTCACAGCTCCCACTTCCTCATGTTCCACCTGCACCCCTAGTCCAATCCTAGGGTGCTCTCTACGTTTCTTCACTTTGTTGCTACCAACATCATGGTGTCCACCTTGAGCAACAACTGTCAGAGCTGCTCCGGTGCAGTAGTGGTCGTCAGAAACACTGCAACAGTTTCCTCTGTTTCCCCAACACTTTCTGTATAGAAAACTAAGATTTTCCCATAGCATAATATGGAGTGAGTGCAGTTCAAATGGGTTTTACCTCTGAACTTTAAGAGAGGCTGGGACAAAGTATTCACAGCAGCGGTGAAGATCGTTTTGTGTCAATAGCGTGAGATTGTTTATGATACCTGAAAAAAACAAAAATAAACAAAACAATGATACGTCGAGCTATGTTTCTGCTTCACTTTTGTTTTTAGTAGGTGCTCTAGGCTTATTAGCTATGCAATAATTCTCCTTTCCAGCTGTATTTAGTCTACTGATCGTCCATCTGTACATTCCGTTTTTTCAGGTATTCATCAGACAGGAGGTCGTTTGCAGTAATGAAAATGTGAGGTAGATGCTGACATCACAGCAAGGTTCTAACACAATACTTGCATGAAGTACTGCAGCTACTGTGATCACTGGCCTCTATTGTTGCATCGATACCATAAGACACAGCCAAAGGGAACAGTGCTGATTGTATAGCTCACAACAGACTGCTGAAATGTAACTGCACATTTCTACGCCTCCTACCAAAACATCACATTTAGTTGGTAGAGATCATGACGTGATAGACTACCCGATTGGGTTCCATTCTATTTCGATTCTTTTCAGGTTATTAGAGTAATAGCCATAGACAGGGACGGCTGTGCATCTACCACTTTTGGAGATCCTGGAAGATTTAATGGCTCACTAAACACCTGTAGTTGCCGGAAAACTAACCTGGTACATTAACTCTGAGTGCAGAGCTAGCAGCACCTTCCACAGAATCACCACAGCTCCTGGCAGTGACTGTGATGTGGTACTGCTGGCCATGGAGGAGTGTGAGGGTCAGTTGTCGTGACTGGAAGAGAGGATTGTCTGCAGCAATGACTCTACTGGCTGGCAGGAGAATGGGAGGATCAACTGTCACCACGTAGCTACTGATGTGGGCATTGTTGGTGTCAGGAATGTTCCACACCACAGACACTGAGGAGAATGTCTTGTTGAGTCTCCTGATCCTTTCCAGGGCCGTCAGTGGTCGATCCGGGGCACTTGGTGGTCCTGTCATCAAGAGATTTAATTATGGTTGATACAGTTTAGGCTTTTAAAACCCACAAGATTAATTAGAAACGGCATAATATAGCTAGGTACTTACTTTGAAAAGTGAAAATGTGTGTACCTAAGAAAAGTGTATATACCTTCAACGATGACAGTAGTTCCAGCAATTGAACTTGTATCAGAGCAGTTGACGGTAATCTCAGTTGTAAAGGTGAATGTCAAGGTTGAAATAATATGAGTATCGTTTGGTTCAATGAGCTGGCCATAGTAGGAGCCTTGATAAGTTGTATTTTGTCTTCCCCGGACGAAGTTTAGTGCTCCGTCAGGAGTCTCCCAGGTGAGGAGACCTCCCATCAGTGTACACTGGAGTGTGACACTCATACCCACACAGAGAGCATTGTTGCCTCCAACTACCACCAGATCAATAGTAGCCACTGGAAGAAATTTTGCGATTCATTCCAACTGATGTTGGGTATGTCAGAAATGTATACTTACACGTCGTTGCAAAAGTGGTGAATAGTAGCGCGAAATAGAACATCTTGTATTCCGCAGGCATCGTGTGCTGGTGTCGCTCTTTGCGTGTGTAACTAGTCGGAGCGCCGGCTGCGCATGCGCATAAGGCGCCGGACCATGAAGAGGGGGCTTCCTTCCGCGCCGGCGAACTAGTAAGCGGAACTAGCAGTCCTTATAGCTACATGGCATACTCCTATAACGTCCTGCAAAATGACAAAGTAGTGGATAGATTTGGTGTGTTTTAACTATGATGTTGCAAGATCCACTGGACCGACATCTGTCGTCGTCGTAATAAACGATTGGTACCAGGTGCTGGGTTATACAAATCAGAATAGTTCATAGTCCAATTTGCTATGAACGTTGGCCAGGAACAATGGTACTGCAAAAGTGTCTGCGCAGAATACAGTAAGTAGCTACAGCCCAAAAAATACACGAGAAAAACTTACTGAGGAGAGTGTTGCCCTATTCACCTCAGAGAATTAGCTATGTGGCCAAGATGCTGATTCAGCATTGGGAGGCAGTCTGCAGCCGCTGCCTTCACTAGTGCACTGCCACTAGCCTATAATATACTGTAGTGGGAAAGTTTTGTAGGGACAAACTTTTCGTATATATAGTCGACCCAAAACCACGAGGTAGTCAAATTTTCGTAGGTAGCTATATACTTCATGGGACGTGTTGTTCATGCCCTTCCATAATGCATTAATAGTGTCTGCGTATGCTGCCAATGTTTATTTTCTTACAATGATGTACCCAACAAAAATTTGCCCGCCACACAGTATCGTGTGTGTGTGTGTGTGTCAGTGGCAATAGTTACAGGCGGCAGTATAGTGTACCGTAGATATGACTCTCTCTCGGAAGGGAGAACCTCCACCAGGTGGTACACATGGGATTGGAGTCTCAGAACTCCAGGAGACACCTGCCGCAAATACATTCATATCACACCTTCGTGTATATACCTTTACATTCCTGGACACTGATGTATAGCTATAAGCTGACTTGTATTATTCATGTGTAGTTAATAAGATTAACACACTTTAAAAATGGTACCAACACCCATTTTATTCATCTCATCAGCCTGCATCAGCACATTCTGACCATGTGAATAACACACTGATATCGGTATTAGCAAACAAGTACTCTTATGACTAGTGCCGAGAGTCTGTTTTGTTCTCGCTTTACTTCAATCCTGCAAACTTAATGAAGCAGGCAGGGGTGCGGCAGCACATACTAGAGTTACATACATTAGTAATGAACCGTGTCATAATGGGCAGGCTCATTGCCCACCAGTCTACACCGTGTGTGGCTGCACACATGCATACCTAACTGATGTTTTGTTAATTTGCATGCATACGATTGAACTTTGGGTTACACTTTTTCCATTTAGGGGCTACTGAATCAGCCCAAACCCTTCCCAATATCCCACAAGCATTCCATGACACAGAAGGCCGGAGACTTATTGTGATTGTCTGTAGACGATGGCTTTGTCTCCACAATGCTATGGCTGCAGCTAAATCTGTCCAAATTTGTTTTTTTGTTAGGCCCTGTAGAATGCAGCTGCTGTTCACCTCCCTTCCTTGAACAATCTTGCCTAAGTCTATGTCTAGCTGTGCTGCGCATGCGCAGATATGTCAATATATACACGCGGCTAGGGGCCGCGGCGCTTTCCTGCTCGCTGTCGCCCAGGGAAAGAGCTGGCGATGGCACTGCGAAGCTTGTTCTACGTTTTCTTCGTGGCAATGTCAGTAAAGATTGTTGACAACCAGTGCACTGACACAACCAGTAACGGTCAGTAACCTGCTCTCTGTGTATATTTAGGAGCGCATAACCCCGTGAAGCGCTGTTTATACATACGGCTAGCCATAATTAGCAAACTCACCACTGTGAGAGAAGCTACTGGTAGCTTTAGGTAGCTATCAATACTTTAGTCTATATGCAATCCTTCTTTCCAGTTTCAATCTCACTGAGTGAACACACACTGTGCCCATCAAAACCAGTGACTGCTCGATGTACAGTGAAGAAACCTGCCGACAGCGAAGACATTTTCCTTGTGTGGGAGTATACCTCTCCTGATGGAATGAAATTTGAATGTACTGTTTTATGTCATCAAACAGATGTTGTTTGTAACTTTGGAGAGGTCAAAGGTGTAGATTGCACTTGTGATGAAACCGAGATAACATCTGAAGCTACCATATACCCAACCTGTATGTCTGGTGTAAATCTCTTTTGCAGTAATGGTGGTATGGAACAGAAGGTTTCGTTTTCAGTAAAAGGTAATGTACTTGGTAAAAGGTTCTTGCACACTCGGCCTAAAGGCATCCCGTTGCAGTGAGCAACAGCATCGCCTTTGCGCCGTATGCATAGGGCTTAGCTATATACGTGATAGCTGGGTCCGAGTGTCAATGATGCGCGAACTGCTTGGCGTTGCGGTCAAGCGCAGGTGACGTGGTGCAAAGCCGTCTAGTCTCGTTCTGGAATAGAGATTAGCATCAGATGGTTTCATGGCACACGCCGCGGCGCAAGGGGGCGGCCGTATAGTCGCTATATACCCTATCAGGCCCCGCCCTTTTCATACGCGTATGACTGTTATGAGTGGCATTTCACAACGTGCAGATCTAAAGATGCCATCACTATCACTAATGAATGAGAGTGTGACTAAAGTCGATGATGGTTATGAAGTGACAGTAATCTGGTCAGAGGATGATTGTACCTCTCATGATGTTCAATACATTCTCTCAGTTTCATCTCCTGAGATCATGAATTATCCTACAAACTTGACACAAATGAATCTAACCCTTTCTGAAGGCATTGAATATACTTTGACTGTCACTGCTACCCTGTGTGGTAAAAGCCTAGCTAGCAATAAACTGTCACTTAATTTTGGAGGTATGTCAATATAAAATATTTGCATGCAGGCAATTGTGTTTTGTGCATTTATTAAAGGTAATAAAATTATTCCACAATCAGTTGTCATCATGTCATGCTAAACAGGCAATACAGGTCCTTCACCAGTGATGCCGATGCCCACAGATTCATCAGACAGTGGTATGTATATACAATAATTTGAGTTTAAAACTCAGATTGTAGGCTTAGAGTTCATTTTCATTATAGCTGTCCTGAGAGGCAGGTACCAGTTACCAATCCATAGTATTGTGTTCACGCTTGATTCTTATAGTCACTTGGCCACAAACTGCATTGTCACACGGTCATTAACTAAATTGCATAATTTTGTTATCGCTCTTTACCAGTCACTCCAATTGTGGGTGGTTCACTTGCTGGAGTATTAGTTTCAATTGGCAGTTTACTGTGTGGCTTGATTGTGGTAAGCAGAAACAATAGAGTCTATATCTGTGCATTTAGTTGGTATCCCTATTCATTATACAGTGGCGTTACAGGGAAAAACTTGGTTGTGTAAGTGAATTCTGCATTTGTTGTAGATACTTTCTGATGGAAACGCTCAAAGTGACACTCGCTTATTATTTTACAGGCTAAATTACACGATATTGAACCTCTGCACATTCCGGGAGTTGAGTTGGAAGAGGCTGAGGTAAGGCATAAAGATAATTTTGAGACTGTTGATTTGCTCTTTTATGCTTGGACTATCAGTGGTGTTACCGTAAAATACCCCTTTTTTGTCTGGCTTGAAGCACAAAGCTCTGTGGTAACAACAACTCTCTGTGGAAAGCTAGAACTCTCCAGCTTTCCCAATAATATCTCCCCCTCAGTAGAATCCATCGCTCTCTCTCTAGCTCCACGGCTGTTCCGCGCGGACGTTATCGCGTGCTGGCCGGCCAGAAATTTGTAATCGCGGGACATAGCAACGTATACGTGTAGTTTTGTGGACTCGTGCTATGGGGATCTAACAATCCTGACGTACACAGCGCTCAATGGTTGCAAGAACATGAAACACTAACTATACATCACATGGCAGCTTCGCGCAGCCAGCTGCCAAAAAGTGTTACAACTGCGCATACCGTCTTGTTGCAACCGCGCCACGGGTACCCGGAAACCCGCTCAGTGCCAGCTTCACACAGTTTTTTATCCAACGCAAAGCCATATGTAGTAAGTGCACAACAAACCGTACTATACCTCGCACAAGACATCGCGCACTAAACATGTTTTATCAGCTAGCAGCAAGCCCAGAGGGTGGGCGAGGTAACGGTAACAAAGTGCACGCGAGACTGAGACTTCGACGGCACTCTACACACACGCATCATGCAAGGCCCGCACAACTAATCAGTTGGAATAGCCATAAATATGATTTGGAACAGCTACAAAAGCACTGCAGAGTTTGTGCTTCCATTCAATGCAAATTCAAAAGCCTACAGATATCCATGCTCCTCCATAAAACCAGAGCAGTGGGCAGCAGTGGGCAGCAGTTGGCATTGACCGGCACTCTGACACCCAGACATTCACCCACCAACAGTGTGCCTCAGTTGCCAGGAGGAAAATGACAAGAATGGCTAATGGTGCAACAACACATCTTAGTGACGCCTACAACTGGTGGGCACATGACGACAATGGCTGCGGCACATGCGTCATGTTTCAGAGCCAATCGGTATATAGGAGGTCGGCCAAAAAAGAACAGGGGTAGGCCAAGGAAATCCACAGAAGGGTTGACCAGACCGACTCAAGAAGTCCACGACGCCATCCTGGGATGCTCTCCAACCAGCTCTCTTTCTCTCTCCGCCTAGTACACGTCCCCAGCTAGAGGACCTGTAATGCTGCATGTGTCACTGCATTGTCGACAGACCAGTAGAGACAGGTTGCAGAAAATTGGCATGCCTGAATTAACTGCGGTCGTTGACAAGCAGTTGCCCTCATTGCAGCACTCACGATGCACAGATCGACTCCCATCTATCACCAGTATCAGACGTCATCCTGAAGGTTGTGGGCGCACTCCCTCCTCCGCTGTCCAGCCTGCAGTGGAATCTGTTCAGTTACACGAGCTTAAGAATCACAGTGAGAGTAACTGTGCTTCCTATACTGTCCAACCCACCATCGGTACAGCTGGACGACGGAGAACACACATTGACTTCCAATCCCCAGGGCGCGCGTGGTCTCACCACCCATACCGTCGTCTAAAAAATGTTTAGAAGGCAACAGCACGACCAAACTCTTCTACAGGGCCTAGCTACACAATACTATTAGTCGCTCTTTTAGGCGTTAAAAACTGTGTGACAGACGCTGCCACTTACTTCTTTCTCCTGTTTCACCCCTGTCGCTCTCGCTAAACCATCCCTTCGACCGGGAAGGAAGACGCACCGTTCGCAAGAGCTACAAACAAGCTCACAATAACAACTAGTGGAAATGTTGAACATTCTTGGCGAGCGGGAGCAACCCAACTTGGGATTTGCCCGAGGATTTGCCCGGGCTGTATAACGTGCCGTCAGCGCACAGCCTTCCTTTCGTGAAGCAAGACAGATCTACCTGTCGCCGTTATATGCGTATTGTACAGTGGCAGAACGGTGAGCAGGTGAGCAGACGGTACTTACCTTGGCTTTGAAGTCGTCAGTCGTGGTCCACCAGGCAGCTGGCATGCAGCAGTACGTGCACGAGCAATCCTAGGCGTAGTTGCAAGTTGCAGCTTGGTACCATGAAGGTTGGGAAGAAGTACAGCCTTGGTCAGTCACAGAAGGTTGCAGCGCATGCCGTCGAATGGAGGAGAGATCTCTAGCTGGCTAGATCGTCGATCCGCGAGGCACCGTGTGTGAAAATGCGTAAAAATTTAGAAATAGTAAAGAAGCGCGTACAAAGCCTCGGCCAGTCAGGTTGCAGCGCATGCCGTCGAATGGAGGATAGTTCTCTCGCTGGCTAGACCGATCAGCGCATATGGCGAGGCACTGTGTGTGAAAATAAAATTTGGAAATTAAAAAGAAGCGCGTACAAAGCCGCGCATGCGCACATACACGACGTACGACGAAATTCCGCTCGAATAACGAACGAATAGGTTTGGCTCGCTCCCTCTCGCCAATTAGCTAGCCGTTTCCCCGGGGCAAAAAGGACTGGCCCGTTGCCACGCACGCGTTGTTAAGGATTACGTAATTTTAATGTGACGCAGCTAAATGAGCACGCGCGAGTAGGACGCGGATCGCGGAACAACAGTAGCTAGCTAGCCGTGGCTCATTTAACCCTCGCCTGCGCGCATGCGCAGCGAGGGTTTTGCAGTCGGTCTGTGTATATACGTACGTGTGTGTGTGTGTGTCCTTCCGTCTGTCCGTCCACCGTTTTTCTCGGTAACCGCGGGAACTCTGAGCGTTAAACGTGGACATATAATCAAGTAGGAGGCATGCATGGTAAAATAAGATTCTGGAGCGGAGAAGGCCAGGGAAGCTGGTGAAACGGGCGGCTGTCGAGGTGAGTGTGCGTCAAATAGAGATCGCGGACGATCGCTGTACTTAGATGCTAGATGCTTTGCGCGTGTGGATAAGATTTGCTGGTCTGCCTGTATTGATGGTTTGCAAAGAAAGAATACAGCTGAAAATTATTAAAGGAAGAGCAGTTTCTGATCTTCTCCTAGACAGCCAACTGTTGAACCTGTGGCGAGGGTTATGTACTTTCAAGTGCTTTTTATTCTGGGGGGTAGGCAGGCTCCCCGAACCAAAACAAACGTTACCTGCTGCTGCTTTCTACCCTAATGATTGTATTATTTGACCTTCTATTTTAGCGAAACCAAATCTCCATAAGGAGGGAAGAATTAAAGTTAAAACGAAGCG